GGGTGACACGAATGGGTAGAATACACCTCAAATTAGCAAATGCTGCAAAGTGATGGCAGCAGTGGCAGCGAGGAGCAAGGAGTATGCCAATTTCTCTTCCTCACTGGAGTGTGGAGGGCATGAGTAAAGGAACAATCTTAACTGGAGAGGGTGACCAGCCATTCACTGTTTTCCTGGAAGACCCTGGTTTCCTTAAGCACTGAAAGGTGGGTGATTGTGACAAATGAGGTATTGGATAAATCTTGAATATGTTAACAACAGAATAGATGTTTCCAAGGGGGAACTTGTGTACACACAGATACAGTATGGATATGACTATTTGTTTGCAAGTATGTGTATGTTTCCACAATCATGTGTATGTCTGAATATATGTTTATGGACGTATCTATCTGTGTTTGTCTAGTTGTATGAACACATGCTTGCCTGTATATTTATGTGCCTTATCTACCTCTGTCTATGGGTACCTATCCATATATACATGTATGTGTATGTACCTATAAGCATCTCTGGACTCGGACCCTCTCCCAGAGAAAGCCATCTCATGGCTTCAGATTATACCTCTCATTCCGCTGAGCTGTCCTGCAATTTATTCATCACAAAGAGAGAGAGAGATAAAGAGAGAGAGAGAGTGAGAGAGACAGAGACAGAGAGAAAGAGAGACAGAGAGAGACACACACACACAAAGAGAGAAAGAGAGAGACACACACAAAGAGAGAAAGACAGAGACAAAGAGAGAGAGAGAGAGAGAGAGAGAGAGAGAGAGAGAGAGAGAGAGAGAGAGAGAGAGAGAGGAGATAGAAATGGAAAGATTAGAGATGGGTTGAAACCAGATGCCCATCTCACCCTTTAGAAATTGCAGATAGTGTAGCCCTTGCCTATTAATCTATTGACCAATCAACAGGCTGCCTTGAGTCCTGGGATTTTCTTCAGTTGTTTCAGTGGTCCTCCACGAAATTCTCAAAACACAAATTAATTTTCACAGAATCCTTGATACTAAGGTTGGAAGGAACCTCAGCTCATTTAGTCTAGTTCTCAGCCTTCAGGCAGGGCAGGGATTATTGCCACCATTTTCCAAGTGAGGCAAACTGAGGCACAGAGAGGGGAAAGGACTTGCTAAGATCACTATAATTTTTCTTTTTTTAAAAAAATTGGTTTTTTTTTTTAATTTTTAGGCAATTGGGGTTAAGTGACCTGCCCAGGGTCACACAGCAAGTAAGTGTCAAGTGTTTGGTCTGAGGCCAGATTTGAACTCTGGTCCTCCTGACTTCAGGGCCAGTGCTCTATCCACTGCACCACCTAGCTGCCCCTTTAAGTTTTCTTTTTAAACCATTCAGTTGATTTACTTATCTGGGCAAACCCTCCTGAATGATGCTGACAAGGCAGGTGTGAAGCTGATAGTGGCATACTTGTAAGTATCCAAGGGTTTGTGGGCTTACCTGTGCACAGAGATGCCTTAATCTTTGCCAGACAGAGCTATGGTTCAGAACTTCCTCTTTATCTCTGCTTGCTGTGACCTTTGTCCTTTAACGTCCCATCTCTTCAGCTCTGCCGCTCTCTCCTCTATGGAGCCTTCTTTGATCCACCCAGCTGAAACTAGTCTTGCCCCCTATCAATTTTCCCTAGGGCACTGTCTGGATTGATCCTTTGCCCTTATTACCCTTAGCCTGTGACTTCATTTGGGGTTTTCTTGGGGAAGATATTGGAGTAGTTTGCTATTTTCTTTCTCCAGCTCATTTTATAGATGAGGAATCTGAGGCAAACGGGGTTAAGTGACTGGCCCAGGTACGTACAACCATTAAGCGTCTGAGGCTGGATTTGAACTCAGATCTTCCTGACTCCAGGCCCAGCATTCTATCTACTTAGTTACCTAGCTGCCTCCTGACTGAACCTAGTAGTTGTTTAATAAGTGTTTGTTGAATTGAAACAAAACTCTGTGTGTGCCTGCCATTGTGTATGTACACATGTAACCCACATGTAACATGTGACCCAAATGCCCAAGTACTGCCTTTTCATTTGGAGGGGAAGGGGCATTGTCCAGATCTGTGATTTCATTGGCATAGGGTATTCCCACTATGGAAACACCTTCCACCAATGAAAAACAATGACCGTTTTGTAACTTATCATCCTACAGAGTTTCCTGGTATAACGAGAAGTGACTTGTCCAAGGTCACTTGTTACCAAATGTTGTCAAAAACAGAACTTGAACCCAGGTCTCCCTGGCTTTTAGGCTGGCCCTCAAATTACGGTGCCAGTCTACATGTACACACGTGATGCATACCTACCCACACACACACACAGATACGGATTTCATTCCTGTGTCAACAGATGGTTGGCTTGTCCTGGGGTTTGAGGGTGTGACAAAGAACATCCTTCCCAGGGGCTGTTGTTTCTCAGTAGTCCAGGATGATCTGTATCACCTTCAAAAGATCAGCGAACTCACTGCTCTGGGAATTCTCCACCAACACAGATAGCGGCCCCTCTCCTCCTCAGGAGACAAGGACCTTGTGACTGAGCACATCTGTTCCCTGGTAGCTCAGCCTCTGATGAGGAACCCTCTTGTTCTTAGCTGGGCCTCAGAGGACCAAGCAGGCCCATTTTAAGTTGGTAAGAGCTTTGAGAACCTATAGTCACTTCTGTGCTATGGGTGGACAAAGAGATGGCAAGCAATATCATGAGGAAACTGGGAGGCTTAAGAAATGGGAAGGGACAGATTTGGCCCAAGGTCAGTCGCACAGTGTTGAGAGATGGGAACTCGAACCCAGGTTTTACTATCCAGGGTTCTTGCTGTTGGATTAGCTATGTGATGATTCCATTAGTAGTGAGAGCCTGGGGCCAGAGGGGGAAGGGTGTGGGGAGAAGTTGATCTATGGGTGCCCTCTATAGCCCAGGAGATGGTCACACTATGGAAATGCAGGGATTCTCTGGGAAGCCTGAGGCCTGGGGATCCTGTGGTCACTATCCTCAGGCTGAACTGTGGGGTTGGGCTTAGCAAAGCAGGTTAGAGGTCAGGGTCTTGGAATTCCAGACATAAATCAGAGTCATTCTAGACTATATAGGCCTCCTTGAGAGAACCAAGGCTGGAAGGAGAACCAGGCCTGTGTAGGAGATCGCTCCCAGAGCTAGTTGGAGTAAGAAAGGACAGGGGAAGGGTGGGGCTGCTTTTGCTCCTCACCCCTCACCCCTCAGCCCCAGGAAACATTCAGCTTTCTTGGTTTGGAGTGAATGGGTAGAGGATATTCCTCCTGAACATCCAGAAATGGCCAAGACTCAGCATGGATGAAGTTTTCTTTTTTCCCTGGATCTCTTTGTATCTGTCCGTCCTTCTCTCTCTTCATCTCTCTTTGCACCCCTTCTGGTTGGCTCTCTTGAGTATATAGGGACCTCAGGCTAGATGCCTAAATCTAGTTGGGATGCTGAGCCAGGGCTGATCATGGCTTTCAGGGCCCTGGAGCTGTCTCTACCTCTTCTGGAAGGGAAGAGAGTAGGAAGATCGATGCCTACTGTCCAGTTCAGTCTTGGGAACAGCCTGTCCTCGGATCTCTGGGGAGGAACTTTGAATCACTATACAGAGGTGGGGGTTGGGGTACAGCGGCCTGGGGATCAGAGGAGGAAGGCCTGATTAGACTGGCTCTGGATTGAGGGTGGGGGCAGTGCTGGGAAGTGGGAGGACACAGGTTGGGAGTGGGTGGGGTTTAAGAAAAGGAAATGCAGTTTCCTAGTGTAATGCCTAGTTCTTGGGGGGGGGGTGCAGATGGCCTTGACCACACAAAGAGGAGTCTTTACACCAAGAAAAAGAGTTGAACTGGTCAGGATAAACTCTAAGGAAACTACATCCGCTTCCTGCCCTTCCCTACCACAACTGCCTGCCTGGCAGCCTCGGTGTTTCTGGGGGATGTGAGGGCTGGGGCATCCCTGGAGCCCTCCTGAGGGTTCACAGGCCAGGCTACCAGAAGGACAACTCCCCTAACTCACTCTAGGGGGCGCTCTTCCTGTGCAGTCAGTTGTCTTCTGTCTTCCACAGTTGACTGACAGCATCTGAATTGCTTAGTGTTCCTGAGGATCTGGGCAAGAGAATTCAGAATAGGTGGGGTAACTTTGTCACCTCACTAGGATTCCCCCAGACATCCCTAATTAGAATCACTTTTTACACGGAGCCCTAGTATATAAGTTCTTTTCAGTCTTTGTAGTTCCAGCTCTTAGAAGTGTTTGGCACATAGCAGGCTCCTAAGAAATGCTTGTAGATGGATTCTCTAACTAATTACAATGCAAAATTTGTGCTGCAGGAGGTTGGGCGCTCTTCTTAAACCTGGAGGCCCTAATGTCTCTCATCTTTCTGATTATCTGTCTCTATCCCCGGACTGAGGGGAGAGTGGTGGTGCTGAGCTAGGTTGAGTGGAGGGTGGAGAGGGAGGAGGGAGGTGACAAGTCTTTCCAGACCCCTCTTTAATTAGTCACGATGCCCTGAGATACCACTTACCACCCAGGGCCCCAAGATATGGCTATCCTCCCCATGCCCATACCAAAAGACATCTGTCCTAGTGTCTAATCTCCATGGGACTATATCCCCAAGTATTCCCCATCATGGTATCCATATCCAATGTGCCTACTTTCTATAGTACCCACACCCCAAGATACCCACCTTTCATAGTAGATACATACCAATGTGCCCATCATCCACAGTGCCCGTCCTTAGTTGGGGCAGCATCTCAAAGTGACGCCCATACTTGAAGGTGACTACACATCCCAAGGTATCTACTTTTATGGTGCCCACACTTTAAGATGTCTGCCTTCCACAATGTCCACCTCAAAGCGACTGTCCTCCAAAGTACCTATACCCCTAGGTTTTCTCCCTCCGTGGGGACCACATCCCAAAGTGTTCCCCAAAGTACCCATCATCCAAGCTGCCCATAGCATGAGGTTACCATATTCTTTGGTGCCTACCCTAAGTGATATCTACACTTCTGGCTGCCCTTCATGCCATCTGGGTAGGAGAGAAGAAGTTCTTAAGATCCATCCTGGCTTTTTATTGAGGGAGAAGACAGAGGAAAAAGGGAACAGAGAAGGCTATGGGGTCAGGCAAAATTGGGGTTAGACCAGTGACCCCATGCCCCAGTGGAGCTGAGACCCTGGTAGCCAGGTGGCTTTTCAGATAAACAGGATGAATTTCAACTCTCTCCCTATGCCAGTCCTGGGCAGAGGTTGCCCCCTGGTGGTGATGGGAGAAAGGATACCTCTTGCTGTTGGACCCAGGATGGGGATACTTGAGAAGCTGGCTTGGGTGGGCAGAGCATGGAGACATCAATTTCTTCCAGGGATACGCTCAGGTCTCCATCCAGAAAGCCTAGCTCCCCACCCCTGGGAGCTAGTTCATTGGAAATAGCACTGGAGTGGGAATCGGGTGACCTGGGTCTATTTTCCACTTCTGCCACCGACTCTCTTTGAGATAGGAAAGTCTCTTCCTCAGCCTGGTCCTCCGGTTCCTCCTCTGTAAAATGGAGATAATTATCCTAGCTTTGCCTCTCTCACAGGACTTATGTGAGGATCTGATGGGACAGTAGATGTAAGTGCTTTAAAGAGGGATGCAAGTATGAGGGATTCTTATTACATGATGGCCTGTTACAGGAGGCAGGGAACATCTTTTTTGGAGGGAGGGGAAGGAGAAAAGTTCATCAGTCTTGGGAAGAGATACATGCATAGGTGCCCTATCTCATCCCCTTCCCAAATTACTTTGCCCACCCAGATGTTTCTCTCTATGAAGAGACAAAGACTGTGAGTGTCAGAGTCACAAAATGGCAGAGCTGGAAGGGATCTTAGAATACAGAACATTAGAACATAGAATGTTGGAGCTGGAAGTGACTTTAGAATTTAGAACTTTAAAACACAGGCCATAAAATGCCAGAGCTGGAAGGAACCTTAGAACATAAAATATTAGAACATGGAATGTAGATTTTTAGAGCTGGAAGGTACACATAATGTTAAGCTACAGAACCACAGACAATCAGATCTAGAAAGAACTTCAGCAAGTTTTTAGCTCTTGAAGGGAAGGGAAAACAACCCCAGAGAGAAGAGACTTACCCAAGATCACACAGTTCTTCAGTGGCAGAGTGAGTTCATGAGATCCAGGTTCCAGGCTAGAAAAAGAGGGGGTTAAGTTGTTCTTTTGGGGAACCCTGCCCTGTTGGCCATTCCCCAATAGGGATGGGGGAAGGAACAGCAGGGACCCCCACCCTTGGACATTCCACTTTTTGGTCTAGCTTCTTGGGGCTGGGGCTGGGTGAGTAAAAAACTTGGGTCAAGTGTCCCACTGGGATTGGGAAGGAAAAGGAGATAGTAGTAAGGGGAAAAGGGATATAGACCAGAAGAGTGGGCTGACAAGGGCAGGGACCCACACGTTCTGAATCAGTGGTGCCTCCTCCCACTAGTGGGCTCCTCCTCAGCTAGACTTAGGCCTTTCACTTGGGCTGGATAGTATGAACCCATGAGGGACCACAGGGGATATTCATGGCAGTGGAGGGGAAGCCCAGATCCCCACCAGCTCTGGGGTCTCTGGCATAAGATAGGTGCCCGCTGCTGCGCTTCTTCATCTTCCCTGTCCACAGGCTCTGCCTTGGGTTCTGGCTTGAGTCGGGTCAAGAGGACCAAGAGCATGCAAGTACTCAGCAGGATGGCGGCAACAGCACAGAGAGCACTTCCTGCTAGGCGACAAGTGCCTAGAGCCTTGTTATACTGAGCTGCGCGCTGGTCCAGAACCAGAAACTCTCCTGCTCCGATGCCCTCCAACTTAGGCGGCACAGCGTAGCCCGTGGTCAGGGCAGCAGCTCCCAGGAGCAGCAAGAGGAGTGACAAGGACACAACTCCCTGGGAAGAGGAAGATAGGTGGTGGGGAGAGGGCTGGCGGTGGGCAACTGGCCGACACCCACGCCTAGGGCAGTCAGTGAAAATGGGTTAGTTTGAGTTTGTAAGTGGTTTTTATAAGATTCAGAAAGGACGATCAGGTAGTCCAACTGTCTTCCCACCTCCCGGCCATTTTACACATGAGGAAACTGAGTCCCGGTGAGGATAAGTGACTTCCTAAGATTACCTAAGTAGTAGACTTGAACTGGGACTTGAACTCAGGGCTTCTGACATCAATCAATCAGATCCAATGGTGTGAAATTCCTTTACATCATACTACCTTGTTTCCAGCTTTGGAGGGTGGGGGCGGGGTGGTATAGGGTGGGCTATTACAAATAAAGCTGCATGAATATTGTATAGATTGGTCTTTTATTCCTTTTACCAGTACCCATATGAACCATGCAGTCATATAGGAAAAACCAAGTGGATGAAAAATGAATATCACTCAGATTATGATTCTCCATTTGATAGGCAGACTGTAGAAATAATCCAATACTCTGTATATCTTGGCCAGGTGAATCATGGAATGCAAGCCCAGAAAATTCGAAACCATAAAAGGCTGACCCAAAGGGCAATAGAAAGATCCATGGTGGGTGTGATTAGGTTGTAGCATATTACCAACAATGACTCCATTGCATGATGTTGTAATAGGTATCACCAAGTACATGAATCACTAGAAAAGGAGATGGACAGTTCATGTACCAAGATTGAGAGATAACATATAGATAACCTGAATACTGCTGGTATCCATGAAATATTAATTGAACCAGAGAAGACTTGTAGCATATTGAATAGATTCTCTATGGATGATTTACAGAAAAACATGGACATGTTTTGTATGGGATGAGAAAATATGGATGAGCTGAAATCCACATGAGTGGATAGAGTACCCACATTGATGAGGTCCACTGCACTATTAGAGTATAACTGCCTTATGGATAGTAGGATCTTTGGGTCAAAAAGTATGATCATTCTTGTTGCTCTTATGACTATATCACCAGTTTGCTTTCCAAAAAGATTCACTAATTCACAGCTCCACTAACAATGTAATAGCACACCTGTTTGCCCATAGCCCCACAGAATTTAATTGTACCAATTTTGCCAATTTAGTGAGCTTGAGGTGGTAGATGGAGAGGCAGCCTAGCATAGTGTATGGAGAGCTGGCATCAGAGTCAAGACCTATTGCAGGAAAGCCAGTCTTTTCCCCATAGTTTCCCCTCCCAACATTCATTCTTACCTAGGAGCCTTAGTTCATCCTGAAACCCCTCTTTGTATCCTCCCCCTATCCCTTAAGATATGCCTCAAATATTACTTCATTTTAGAAACCTTTATTGATTATCCCAATCTGCAGTGACCTCTCCCTCCTCTGAGTTCCTAAAATTCTGACTATTCAAACTCTGGGCTAAGGCAGGAAGGCCAGCAATTTGGAGGGTGGGATAGAGAAGGCTTACCTTCCAGAAGGAGGAAGACCAGTCACAGGTATCCTGGTTATTTGGAGTGGGATCCTCCACCTCCTCAGGGTGGGCTGCACCTCCACAGTCCTCATAGAAGAGGTGCAGGTAGGAACGGACCCCATTCCATTTGCCATGGTCCTCATGGGGGCCACGGCCGCAGGCACACGGCCTTTCTCGTGCAGGCATCATGTTTCTGTCTGAGAGTGGAAGGAAACATTATGGCTTAAGGTCAGAGCTCCCAAAAGCCCTCAGTCCTTTGGGCCAGGCCTTATCCCTAACTTATACCAAACGGGGTATGAAGCCTGGTTCAAATCCCCCTTCCTTCATAATCCTTCTCTAGCTATTCTGCCCCCATTCTGCTCTGGTATAGTAGAAGGTTGGAAGGCTTGAATTTGAATTCCACTTGTCTCACATAAGCTATTTGAACTTGGGCAAATCTTTTCATCACTGTGGGCCTCAATTTGCTTATCTGTAAAACCAGGAAATCTATAAGGAAGGGATCTTCCAGCCCTGACATTCTATACTTTATGCTTAACAGGTGTTTCTTGCTCTAAATTATGTGATACTCTAATTGTTATGGGGGAAATCAGTTTACAACAGATGGTCGACACTCTGAAGGGCCTTTTCTTCTTTCCATATACCTCAGAGGGCCCATTCTGCACTCCAGTCATCCTGGCTTCTTCCCTCTTTTCCTCCCACACAACTCAAACAAGGTTCTTCATCACCCTCTTGCCTTCTGACTGGGTTTCCTCCTCACAATCCTCTGCGTCCCTGAATCCCAAGGGCTCCACTGAATGGCCTATGTGCAAGAAGTAGATGTGATAATGCTTTGTCTGGATCTCTTTTCCCATCACATTCTGTCTTGTTACACTTATTTATGTCTCCTCTAGCAGGTTGTAAGCTTCTGGGGGATCATGTTCATATTGTTTTTCATTTTTTTTATCCCCAATGGAACCAAGAGGCAGAGTGGATACACGACCAACACGAGTCAGGAAGACCTGTTCAAGCCTCCTCCACCCCATAACTTGTATTGTCGATCTGACCCTGGGCAAGTCACTTAATCTCTCAATGACCTAGGCTACTCACTAAGACTTTAGGTTACATAGAGGTAAATCTGGATCAGTAGAGGGAAGTGCCTCCCTAGAGAGTTCCCTATACCAACAAAATCACTGGTCCAGTCTCTATCCCTAAGCCTAATGTTCAGAAAAGAATAGGTGCTTAACAAATGTTTATTGAATTAGATTTGTTGACTTGACAAACTAACCCCACTCCCACCTCATCAAGATTTTGCCTAAGAATAGATTAAGGTATGACCCCATCCCCCAACTCTTTCCCTTTCCATAGTTATTTGCATTTGGATCCCAAAGCCTTTTGGAGCAAAAGGTACTCCTTGAATGTTAAGTGAATTATGATTATAGAATCTAAGAATTCAAGAATCACAGTTTATGAATGTCAGTTGGAAAGGATCTTAGAACTGATAATGTTTAAGTTAAGCAGGGCCTTAGAGATCATCCTCTAATCCAACAGCTTCATTTCACAGAGGAGGAAACTGAGGCTCAGAGAGATTTAGTGACTTGGAATGAAAGCATCCCAGAATTGGAGGGAAATTTCAGAAGTCATCTAGTCCAACCAGGGATGGCATAGGAATCCTCTCCATTCCAGATCTTGGGCTTGGAGTCAGAAGACCTAAGTTAAAAAAATCTACATACTGTACATGTTCTTGGGTAAGTGATTTAACTTCTCTGGGTGTCAATTTCTTCATCTGTAAAATGAGGGGGAGGGGTTAGTAGATGAACTCCAAGGTCTCCTTCCAGCACTAATTCTATAATACTTCCTACAACATTCTTAATAAGTAGATCAACCAGCTCTTGCTGGAATACCTCTGGGGACAGGAAAGTCACTATCTCTCGAGTTGTCATTATTTCTAAAGTGTACACACACACACACAACACACACACACACACACACACACACACATACACACAAGTTGTTGTTTTGTCGTTGGACAGATGTGAAGGTTAGGAAGTTCTTACTCTGAGAAGAAGCTGCAATCTGCCTTCAGGTTATTCTACCCATTCTTCTGCTCTGTCTTCCCAGGTCAGGCATTAGAACAAAGCCAGCTTTCTTAGCCCTGGGACAGCCTTTACGTGCTTGAAGCCTTTCTCAAGGTCATGCAGCTTGGAATGGCTAAATTAGAATTAGAATCTAGAACTGCTCAATTCAATTTAAAAAATTGAGGGAGTATGAAGAGCTGGCCAAGAGGGGGCTATTTTATGGGCAGAGAGATGGGCCTCACTCTCAGACCTTAGGTGGCAGTGCAGAGCCTAGGAAGGATGGATGAAGATAGGGATCTAAGGGGGAGAGAGTGCCCTTTTGGAGGGGGCATGGGAGGGGAACAAAGGGGCTGCATAGAGGGTAATGTGTGAAGTGAGCTTTGGGTTGAGTTGGGGAGGACTGTGGGACTCCTAGCCTGGAAACCAGGCTTTATTCCAAGCCTTCATTTATTAAGGGGGGCGGGGGAGAGACAGACAATGGGGCGGGGGGAGCAGCTGCAGGATCGGGGAACTAAAAACTGAAAATGAAGGTGTGATTGGGCCTTCCTTAATAACACCATCCTTTCTATAAGCAGACCTACTGTCTTCTCATATTTTGATCCTATGCCTCTTTCCTCTAAATGCCATGCTCTTTCCTTAGGAAGAGGAGGAGGAGGAAGGTGACCTTGGAGCCTCCTCTTCTGTCTCTCTGGCCCCACCTCCTCCCCCTATTCTGGGTCTCTGGACTGGGGGAGGGGGAGGACCAGCCAGTGGAAAGCTTAGGGTGAGAGTTGCCATGGAAACAGTCTCAAGACTGGCCAGAGATGGAGGAGGGAGGGGGAAAGCTGGCTGCAGTGGGATGGGGGTGGAGTAAGGAGGGGGAAAGGGAAGGGGGGAATGTTTGAGGGGGAAGGGCTGATGGCTACAGGTGAATCAGCAATCTAAGATGAGGGGTAAGAGAGGAAGAGGGGAACTATAGAGGGGGTTTATTAAGGGGATGATGGCTACAGGTTGAGTCAGCTACTGATGGAGAGGGGAGCAGAGGATTAGGAGGTGGAGAGGGACAAGGATGTTGACTACAGCAGACAACCTGTGAGTCAGCTCTAGGATGGGAGAGGGAGAGAAGAGACAAGGGGAGGGGGCAGTAAAGGGAGTAGAGGATGGATAGAAATAGAGATGTGGTGTCTCTTCATGTTTTGGTCCTCCACTCTTTCCTTGCCTCCAGCCCTTGCTCAGGGCTCTCTCCAAGGTGAGGCCCTCCCGGAGAGAGAGATCCTGTCCCACTTCAGGTTTCTGCTTCCTCCCCCTGACCACCCCCCACCCCTCTATAAAATACTCCAAGGAGTATCTCTTCCAGGCTTCCCACCCTTCTCCCTTTAGAGGGAAGTGTATTTATATTCTTATGGTATATTCCAGCTGCGCATCAGACTGCTCGACCCAATCCTCTAACGGGGAAACTGAGGCACAGAAGTGGTGCATTGCCCCAATCTGAGGCATCCCACCGGGATATAAGGAATCCCAGTCTAGCACCTCGTCTTTTTTTTTTCCCCCTGGGCAGAGTCGGGTCGGGTTAGATCGGGTCCCCTCCTCCCGCTTTTGGTCCCAGGACTTGGACCTGGGCACCTCCATGCCTTGATGAGGCGCCCTGGATCCCCATACTGCTTACCTAGGCCAGGGGTACTGCCATACTCGAACTCAGAGCACCGTCTGCCTCCCTGGGGTCCCCCGACTGCCTGGCACGGCCTGACGGGAGAGGAAAGGCAGCCCCCGGGCCAACGGAGCTGGCTCTGGGGCTAGTCCTGGGAGAGAAGGCTGGGACTGGGGCTGAAGGGGTGTCGGAGCGCGGCGGGCTGCGCTCACCTCGAAGCCCGCAGCCTCCCCTGTGCTGGGTTGAGCTGGCGCTTGCGCAAGAACCACTCTGCGGAGGAAGGGTGGGAGGTGGGGAGGAGGGTGGGGGTGACAGTGCTGGAGTCCATGGCACTGCTTCACCAGCCCCAGGTAGCTTCTAGAAATGGCACCTCCCGCTGCTTTCTGGGCTGCCACCGGCTAGGCAGAGCTGGGTGGTACTTGGTTTTCCTGGGGAATTTAACCCCCATCTTCTCATTAAGCACCCCTCATCTCTTCATGGAGCTCCCTCCCCCACCTTACCGAGCCCCTGTCTTCCACAATGCGTTCTCCCCCACTCCCTAGCTAAGCTCGCGTCATCCTTCGCTGAGACCTCATCTCTCAATGAATCCACATCAACTAACCGACCCCCCAGCCCACCCACAGAGTCTCATTCCTTAAATAAGAACCGAGCCTCTTCATTGAGTCACCTCCCCTTTCACTGATACCCCATTCTGTCAATAAGACTATCCAGACATCAAGGGACAATATCTCCAATGGAGCTTTTGGGAGCTCTGGAGAAATTCCTCCCCACATTTTAAAAGCCTCTTTTGTCCCCTAGGTTTTTCCCAAAGCTGTCCTTTCCCCAAGTGTCTAGTCTGAGGGAGTTGTTCCCTCTACTCTATCTGCCCCCTGCTCAGTCTCGTGTTCTTATCTGTTTCTCTTTTTCATTTTTTCCCTTCACCTTTCCCCTACCCCTTCCCCACCACCAGGGGTGTGATTAAGTCCCTGGGCTTTGGCTAGTGAGAATCGGCATAGTCGGTCAGTCCTCTGGAGCCACTGCAATAGTGGGTTGGGGAGATTTGCACCCTCTTCAACCAGGTCTCATCCAAATGCCCTAGGGCATATTCCCCAATGCCCCTTTGAGAATCCCTGGTAGCCTGGGGGCAAGGAAGCCTGAACTCAGTGGGACCTGCTTATCTATGGCAAGACTTTTTCTCTTCAAGTAGTGTTCTACCCCAATCACTCTCCTCATTCCCTTTCTGCCTTGTCACCTTGGGTCCTTCTTAGATTTGGTGTATGGTCTTAGCTAAGCTACATATCCTCCTTACACCTCTGAATACCGCAGAGTCCTTTCAGGTAGCGCCAGCAAGGATCCCACCAGAGTTCAATCTTCAGGCAAAATCCTCTAGGATCCCATGTGGAGAGGAGGGCTGAGTGGAGTAGAGTTGGGCCATTTCCTAGCAGCAGCCCTAAACAGTCTGTTGTACCCCAGGTGCACAGGAAACAAGGCCAGGACGCCACCACAATAGAAAAAAAGGCAAAGAGGGTCACGGACTTTCCCAAAGTCACTCAAGACCCTCTCCCTAGGCTTTGTCTTGACTCCAAGTACAGGGTCCTCACTATTGACCTGACCCACCCCTACTATTGATTCAGAGTAAGTCTTGATCTTTGCAAGGAGGGTCTAACACCTCCCACCTGTTGGGAAGGTGGCCTGACCTTCTGTTGCTAGGAAACCCAAGAAAAGCTGAGCTGAGGCATTGGTTGCTAGGAAATGCCAGAGGATGGGGGTGGGGTGGCCATTGGTTGCTAGGGAGCTCAGTGAAGCTGGGGAAATTCAGGCAGATGTCCAGCTTAGAAGTAGCCTCTTCTCTCATTTCTCTTTTCCTTTGCTCTTTCTTCTCTACATCTTTTCTTCTTTCTTTTCCTCTCGACTGAAGATAACCCTAAACAAGTCACTTTTCTCTCTTAACCTATTTCCTCCTCTATAGAGTGGGAGAGTTGGGCTAAACAGTCCTTAAAACCCCCTTCTTGCTATTTCTAAGATTCTCTGTTCTTAGAGTCCTAGCTTTGACATCCTTCATCCTCTGGTCTCTTCCTTTTTCTCCTGTTCCTTCTTGCTCCTCCTCTCTCTTTCTTCTCCTTTACCCCATCTCCTACTCTTCTTTCCTTTCTCTGCCTCTGTCCCAGGAAAGGATCACAGTAAGGAGGCTTTCTTCTGAGAAGGGGTACCCCACCCAGAAATATCCTGTCCCCCAGCCTTTTTAAAAATATTATTTTATTTCCCCTTCAATTATACGTGAAGACAATTATTAGCATTCATTTTTACAAGATTTAGAGTTCCAAATTTTTCTCCCTCCCTCCCTTCCCTCTTCCTAAAATGGTAAGTGGTTTGATATAGGTTATATATGTCCCCTAGCCTTCTAGCCACCACCTCTTAAGGCTTAGACTGATTCCCCCCCCAGCCCACCCAAGACAAGAAGCTTGAAGGGGTGTGTGTGTGTGTGTGTGTGTGTGTGTGTGTGTTGGGGAGGGGAGGGCAATCCCTCCCTTTCCCAGGTTCTTCACTTTATTGTTCTTCTTCCATTTGTAATTTGTTTCCAGCCTCAAATGTTCAGCAGTCTTCTCATAGTCACATCACCTGGGACTTGGGTTGAGGAAACAGGTAGTTAAGGAGTATGTGTGTATGTGTATTTGGAAGTCAGAAGACCTAAATTTAAATACCACTTCTGACACTAGCTATGTGATTTCAGATGAGTCATTTAATTTCTCTGGGCCTCAGTTTCAACCTTTGTAAAAAAAAAGAGTTGGACCCAATGATTTCCAAGGTTTTTTTTTTTTTGGGGGGGGGTCTGCTAGTCTATGATTCTATAAATAGCCAAAGGATAGAATCTGATCCTGCCTCCAGGCTCTGTTACCTAGAGAGAACTTCTGAAAAGTGCACCAGGATTAGTGGCGCTTTCCATTTATATCCCAATAAAAGTATGATGTATATAATCCTGGTATCCCCAGGCCCATGATGACCCTCATCTCCCTAAAATTGGCTTTGGACCTTGGGGAACAAGAAGTCTGCTTTTGGCACTTACCCATTATTCTTCAAGTCCTGGATCTGTGTCCCAACACTTATGATTTAGTAAGAGGACCTGGGTTTGAATACCCACTCTGTCACCTTCTACCTGTGGGACCTCAGGCAAGATCCCTCTTCCCCTCTCTGGGACTCAGTTTCCTCATCTGTAAAATGAGGGAATTGGACTAGATGATCCCCATAGTTTCCTCCAGTCCTAAATCCTATGATTCTCTGATCTCCCCAGCCCATAGCAGTTCTTCGTCCACCTACCTCCGGCTCCAGAAGCAGTGTTCCAAACCTCTAGGAAGGAAGGAAGGCACAGAGCCCTTTTTCCTTCAATGATGTTAAGGAAAGCACTATGTAAATGTGTGTTAGCTAGACATTTAAACTAGAACAGAATTCAATGTCCAGGGGTTGCTGTGGGACAGTATTTTGCAAACCTTAACAAAACTATATAAGTAAGCTACTTTTTTTCTAGGACTTTACCCCACAACAAGGCCGTGAGGTAAGTTGAAAGGATTGTCATTCCTCCTGTTTTATACATTACAGAACTTCAGAGTCAGAAAGGAATTCAGTGGCCAGCTAGTGCAATCCTTATCTGAAAAAAAGAAATCAGACAGGCTAATTGGGACAAAGTGATTTTTCCCATTCACTCAGCAAATAGAGTCAGAGCCAGGAAACAAACCCAGGGCCCCTGAGCCCAAATCGAGTGCTTGTCCTTTCTACTATAGTGCTCTTCCTCTCTTCTCTGTAAATTTCCAGATTTTTGGAGTTATTTGTATTTGAGGAGTCAAATGATGTTTTGGAAACATCCCACTTTGAGACCTATCTCTTCCAGGAAGCTTTCTTGGGCTGCTCCAGACCACAGTGATCTCCCTCTAGAGAATGCCTTAGTGGCTATACTATACCTTGTAGCACTTGCTTTTATAAGTTTTTTTTTTTTAGTATTTTTTCCCCTCTAGTTTTACAAGAGACCTAGAGTCTCATATTTACTAATGGACTCCTGAGCTCTGGAAAGGCAGGAATCTGTCTTATGGACTCTGTCTTACACTTCTTTGTACTTCCCCCACTGAATTCGTCACACAGCAGGAAGTCAGTACATAGTTAATAAATCTAGAACTCAATCTTTTTATCTGGAAAATAAGGAGACAGGACTAGATGATCTCTTAAGTTTCTTACTATGCAGACATCCTATGGCCCTGTGTTCTGATATCCTATATTCTAAGGTCCTTTCCAAATCTGACAGTCTATGGTCTAAGGTTCCCACCAGCTGTGATGTTGTATGATCCAAGGCCCCTCCTAGTCCTGACATTCTGTATTCTAAGTTCCCTCTCAGCTATGATGCTCTATGTTCTAAGTTTCTTCCCAGCTCTGACATTCTATGTTCTAAGGTCCCTCCTAGCTTTGATATTCTATGTTCTAAGGTTCTTCCTAGCTATGACATTCTATGTTCCAAAGTTCCTCCCAGCTATGACATTGTATTGTCCAAGACCCCTCCCACCTATGACAATCTACATTCTAAGGTTCCTCCCAGCTCTGACATTCTATGTTATATGAATATGTGCTCCATTCATTGATGACAGGAGTTCCCTTCCTTAAGGTGGGATAGGGGGTTTCACGCCCTTCTCCCTCCTTCCAGGATTGAACAAAAGTTGGGACACTACCACAATTTAGCCAGCAGGTGTCGCCATGATCCTAGACGGGGTTTCCCCTCCCCCTCACTTCTGGTCTTATCTCATCCCAGATGCAGGCAGAATCTGTGGATGCTTAAGCTTGAATGGGCCTTGGGACATGGATTATCAGAGCTGAAAGGTACACTCTCCCTCTGGTTCTATGTCAGAGTCATAGGATTAAAACACTTAAGAGCTGTAAGGGGTCTTAAAGAGAATCTAGACTGGCATCTTTACTTTCCAGGGGAAATTGAGATACTAAGTGGGAAAGACATTTGTCCAAAGTCATACAAGAATAAAGCAGCAGAGACGGAATTCAAACCCAGGCCTTCTGACTCCACACCCAGGACTCTTCCCATTACAGTTCCCGCTCTCCTTTGCCTCAGTCCCTATATTCCCATGTCCATTTCACAGGAATCTGCACCCTCAGCTTGCTCTTTTCAGGTCTGGGGGCTCTCCTTTTGGAGACATATTGAGGTGCTGGAGTATGTCCAGAGGAGAATGAGTAGGTTATGGAGGAAACCAGTAGCTGTGTTATTAAGTTGGCTGAAAGGCCTAGGGATGTTCACCTGGAGATTTTTCAGGGAGACATCATAGCCATTTTCAAGTATTTGAAGGGCTGTATCATGAATCCTGTTGTACTCGGCCCTAGAGGACAGAACAATGAGCAAAGGTAGAAGATGAAGGGAGGCAAATTTCAGTTGAATGTCAGAAAGAGCTTGCTAAAAAGAGAACAGTTCCACAATGGAACAGGCAGCTTGGGTGGGGAGTAGGCCTTCTGTCACT